AGCACGTGTTGCCTTGGCCTTGAGGATCAGAGGATAAGGTTTTCACCTGTTGGCCCACCTGACTGATGAGTATATAAGCCTCCATGGTGCTATTGAATGAATAAAGGGCTTCTTACCAGTGACTAGAGGTCTCTCTCTCTCTCTCTCTCTCTCTCTCTCTCTCTCTCTCTCTCTCTCTCTCTCTCTCTCTCTCTGTGTGTGTGTGTGTGTGTGTGTGTCTTTGTGTGTTTCAACCTCCAGCCCCTTGCCCAAAGCTCGGGAACTGTATGGTAACGCATAGAGCACAGACAGGCATGTGCTGCAGTAGCCCATGCTAAATGCTAGCTATTTGATTCAGCCTTGATAGATCTCGGACTCCTTCCAAGGAAACGAATAGCATACAAGATGAGGGAAAATATACACATTTTAAAAAATACTCTTATTATTTAGTATCAGTGTGTGAGCACCTGCCTTTAAACCCAGTACATGAAATAGAGTTGCGGGAATCTTTGTGAGTTTGAGGCCAACCTGGTCTATATAGCAAGTTCCAAGCCAGCCAGCCAGGGCTACGTAGTGAGATCCTTTTTCTTTAAAGATTTACTTTTACTTCTTTAAATTGTGTGTGCATGTGTGTGTGTAAGAGAAAGGGAGAGGGAGAATTTGAGCAGGTACTGAAAGACCCGAATAAATCCAGACCCCTCTAGCAGAAAAAAAATAGAGCCAAAAATCTAGCAGAAAAAATAGGGCCAAAAATCTAAGCAGGGAGAGAAGAATCAAAAATCTAGATTAGCCAGTTCAGTGACTCTGTTTCAGGAACTAGCTGAAGATAAAGTTAGATTATAATCTTGAGAATAATCTCAAGAAACAGAGAAAATCCCCCTTGTGATTGTCCCTGGTATTTTCAGAATTTTATGGTTTCTTCCCTTAAACACCCCTTCTCCCAGCTACTCGGGGTCAAACTCTCTACCCCTGTGTGGGAAATGAGTTTCGGCCCCAGTGCACTGGTTCCTGTCCTGTCAATAAACCTCGCGTGATTGCAGCAAGGACGGTCTCTCGTGAGTTCCTGGAAGGGTCGTGTTATCCCGAGACTTGAGTGAGAGTCTCCCCGCTCTGGAGGTCTTTCAGTACCAGAGGTCACCAGGGGATTGGATTTCCATGAAGCTGGCAGTACAAACAGTTGTGAGCAGCTAGATATGGGTTCTGACTGTTCAGCCAGAGCAAGGATGCTCATGAGCACTGAGCTGCCCCTCCAGGGCACTTATACACATTCTGATTAGTGCGAGCACTAAGGAAATATCAGGGGGCTATGAGAAAAGATGAGGGCCACAAGGAAACCCGCTCAAGAAGTGACATTTAAACTCAGGCCCGAATATGTGACTAAGAGCAGCCTACAAGGGGGAAATAGTGTATTTGAGGTTCATATCATAAGAAAACAGTAGAACACTTGAGGAACTGGAAGAACTTCCGTATAGCTAGAGTACAGTAAAGAAGGAAGGAAGTCCTCGGCGAGATTAGAGGGGCATAAAAGGCTTATAAACGTTGCTTTTTTTGCTGGAACAAGTATAATGAGAAGGCACTGAAGTATTTTAAGCAGCAAGTGGTGTATTATTTACTTTTGACACAGGAAAATTTAAGAGAGGCTTTCTTGTGACAACGAGTCTCCGAGTCACCGAGCCCAGAGGGCTGGACCCTGGAAACAGGAGCCTTTCTCCCATCTTACAGTCAAGACATGAGGGGTGTTAGAGTTCAGCTGCAATGGGGGAGAACAGTAACACCCCAGTACCGTCACGCTGAGAAAAATGCCCATGCTGGACCCGTGAGCTCACCACATCATGTGGCCTCAGCAGGCATGGATGCCACTATGGTGGCCATAATGACTCTATAAAAGATGGTCACTTGCTAATCCCTAGAGCCTGAGAGTGTGCTGGCATGTGTGCAAAAGAGCTTTGCAAATGTGACTAAATTACAGGTCTTTGAGCTGGGAACGGCAGCCTAGACTATCCTGTGGAGCTAATCTAAATACAAGGGCTTCTTGGTAGCCACAGAGACCCAGCTGTGAGGACCAAAGCAGGGGCAGATAGATGTGCTATTCCTAACTCCGTTTGGGATTTTTCATTTGTCAGTTTTCAGGCTGCCTGGAACTCATGGCAGTCCTCCTGCCTCAGCTTCCCAAGAACTAGGACAAGATCAATATACCTGTCTTTGAATGTGGAAGAGAAGCCATAAGCTAAGTAGCATGGTAGCTTCTAGAAGCTGGAAAGGCAAGGAACTGTGTTCTTCCCTAGAGCTCCCAGAAGGAGCTCAGTCTTGCTAAGGTTTTGAAGTTTTTATCTAATGAGACTTGGGCCAGAGATCTGGCATGCAGAACTGTAAGAGAATAAGTTTGTATCAAGATGAAGACTTCGTGCTGACCAATATCATCATATGTCATATCATCAATAAGAAGCTAACGTCACTTTTGTGACAATGACCAAAACAAGGGCAGCAGATGTTTCTGGGAGTTGTAAGTGGATTTCCTATTATTCTTTCCTGGATGTGAATGCCATAGCTGGGATTAACTCAGACACTGAATAAGTGTATGTGAGTTTGTGGGAATTAGTGCAAAAAAGGACCCTACGCTAAATGGTACAGGAGCATTGACCTTAATGTTCAATTGTATATGACTTCATGTATCTACAAACTAACACGCCAGGACCTGTTAGTTATGTAAGAATTGGAAACTGGCAGAATAGTGTATCAACAACCAACATAAAGAGTTAGAAAAGTGGCCGGGTAGTGGTGGCGCACACTAGTATTAAGCACTCGGGAGGCAGAGGCAGGAGGATCTCTGTGAGTTCGAAGCCAGCCTGGTCTACAAGAGCTCATTCCAGGACAGGCTCCAAAGCTACAAAGAAACACTGTCTCGAAAAACAAACAAACAAACGAAAAAGAGTTAGAAAAGTGAACCAAGTTGTTGAGACGCTAAAGAACTAGCCTCTAATCAACCATATTCTTTTGAAGTGCCAGAGGCCTTTCTAGGGATGAAACATACTCTAACAGATTGTTGATGTGAAACAGATTTCTACTCCACAATAGAGACTGGTCTAAATGCTAAAATTCTGACTAATCTACTCCCAGTCTTACTTAAAATTAAGCCAACCAGGCACGGTGGGTGGTACATTCCTTTTATCTCAGCTACTTGGGAGCCATTAAAGATAAGCTTGTAAAGGAGGCTGGAGATGTAGTTCAATAGTAAAACATTTGCTGGGCATGCCTGAGGCCCTGGGCTCAATTCCTAGTAATAATAGAAAAAAATCAGTTGTGATTTGTTTTGGATGTGTCAGTGTTGCTGTGAAGAGACACCCTGACCATGGCAATGCTAATAAAAGAGCATTAGTTGGGGCTGGCTTACAGTTTCAGAGGTTTAATCCATTGTCATCATGGCAGGAGGCACGGTGGCACACAGACAGATTGCGCTGGGGAAGCAGCTGAGAGTTCTACGTCTGAATCTGCAGCCAGTAAGAAGAGGGAGCCACTGGGCCTGGCTGCGGCTTTTGAAAATCTTAAAATCCCCACCCAGGGATGTACTTTTCCAAGAAGGTCACACCTCCTAATCTTTTCAAATAGTGCCACTCCCTGTGACGTGATCAGACATTCAAATCCATGAGCCTGTGGGGCCATTCTCATTCAAATCACCAGAGGATGGAACCGCACAACTTGAATTAACTGCATTTCTGCCCTTGGTTGTCATGGCAAGGCCACCTCACTAAGGAAGTTCATCAAATATGTCTAGGGTTTTTCTCTTCCGGACGTGTCTGCTCTTTATTATCTTTGAGATTAGCTGGGGCCAATTAATTTGTTCGTGCGTGACCTCAAAGCAGCATTTCACTGGAGAGTCTCACCCAAGTACGGGTGACGACCTCCCCATAGCTGTGCTAATGGATGCCCTCCTCACTTAACCTTCCACCCTCTGTACACTCTAGCACTTCCTGAGACCACTCAACCACACACACCATGTTAGCAGAATTACATACAGCTGTATGTATGTAAAATTGCATATATGCTCCTGCCCTTGCCTTCAGGGAGTCTAGCGACTCTCCCTATCCACGTCTTTGAGGAAACAGCAACAGAGATGGTTCTAAGGTTCACTTGGAGGTAGTTGCAGCTGCTCTGAAGATGGCAATGATCGGAGGATAGTGTTCTACAACACCCTGACTCAGACAAAAACAAGATGAAGCCACTGAGCAGTAAACAAGTAAACAACAGGCAAAGCCTGGGAGGTGACAGCCACTACCTTGACAGTCTCTACCGGACAACTTGAGTAAAAACAAAATTATATTAAGGCACTAAAGTTCGAGCTGTTCATAGCTGCGGCTTCTCCTTCTCTGTCTTTAAGGTTTCTATTCTTTATTTTTATTTCATGTGTACAAGTGTTTTGCCTGCTATGTATGTATAATCACGTGGATGCCTGGCATCCACAGAGGCTAGAGAGGGTAGAGGATCCCCTAGAGCTAGAGTTACAGACAGTTGTGAGCCACTTACGGAGGTGCTGGAAACTGAACCCAGATCCTCTCGAAGAATAGCCAGTGCTCTTAACTGCTGAGCCATCTCTCCAGCCCTCCCCTGTTTGTCTTAACCTCCGTACTGCATAAGAAAAGATTTATCAGAATTGTATTTATCAATCTTATTTTGCATCTGGAATAGAGGCACCGTGCCTTGCCTGCCTAGTGTGTGTTCCCCCTCCAGCTACTAAAGGGTTTGTGAAGTTTCCAATCTTTCTATTTAGCTGTTAGTCCCACTTCTGGTTTAAAATGTCAAAGAAGCAGAGTGTGCTGGCAAATTCTAGCACTTGAGAAGAAGAGGGAAGGCGAATGCTATTAAGTTTGATGCCAGCTTTATATGCATAGTGAGTTTTAGGTCAGGCAGTACTACAGAGTGAAGCCCTGTCCCAGAAAACCAAAATAAAGAAAGAAGGGTTGTGGAAAGAAAGAACTGCTTCTATCCTTAAAATGTAGGTAGAGCAATGATGAGTAAAATAGTGTTTGAGCAGATAAGATTATCACAAGATATTCACATCATCTGAGTTCCAAGAGGAAATGGAGCACATGACTTGGTCTTTGGAAGAGAAACAGGAAGTCAGCAGGCATTTTTGTGAACTGTTGACAGTCAAATGAAGCCTTGCATGTCCATTCTGAGCTTCCTGAATAGCTGGTACTGTAGGACCACACCACCATCTGCAGCCCCTAGGACTGACAGAAAGAGCCATTAGATGATATCTTAGGGTTGGTTACTATTGTGATGAAACACCATGACCAAAAGCAACTTGAGCAGGAAAGGGTTCGTTTGTATTTGACTTACACTTCCATATCACTGTTGATCATCAAAATCATTTAGCTCAGAAACTCAAAAACAGCAGGAACCTGGAGGCAGGAGCTGGGGCAGAAGCCATGGAGGGGTGCTATTTGTTGGCTTGCTCCCGATGGCTTTCTCGGCCTGCTTCCTTATAGAACCTAGGACCACCAGCCCAGGGTGAAGGCATATTGCTGTGATTAGTGTAATAAAAAGCTGAATGGCCAGTAGCTAGGCAGGAAGTATAGGTGGACTTCCAGGAAGAGAGAGGAAGTAGGAGGAGGAATGAGAGACACTAGGAGACCTGAAAGAAAGAGGATGGGCGGTATGTGACAGAACTTAGATGAATAGAAATGGGTTAATTTAAGTTATAAGAACTAGTTAGGAACAAACTTAAACTAGGACTGAACTTTCATAATTAATAATAAGTCTCCATGTCATTATTTGTGAGCTGGCGGCCCAGACTACATATGGTGCCCACCTACAGTAGGATGGGGACCCTTACCTCATCAATCACTAATAAAACAAACAACAACAACAAAAAAAACCTACTGCTGGCTATTATGGAGGCATTTTCTCAATTGAGGTTTCCACCTCTCAGATAACTCTAACTTGTATCAAGCCAACATAAAACTAGCCAGGTCAGACTGTATTATACTCATTAATTCCGGAGTTATGGTTTTGCTGCATAGACCAGGCTAGTCTCGAACTTTCAGCAATTCCCCTGTTTCTGGCTCCAGTGTGCTAGGACTCAGGTGTTCACCACAACACCCAGCTGCAGATGCAACAGATCCTGAAAGGAGGGGTACCTGTTTCCCAAGTGGGAAACAGGGGCACCGGGGGCATACTACCTTTAAAAAAAAAGAGTCATTACTATGAGAAAGTCTACTTTAATTCTTCATTCAACATATCTTCAAGTACGTACAGTATACTAGGACTTGTATCAGTATTATGAACATATCGTTGGTAATACTGCGGGCGTTTATGGAGTTTGGTGTAGGATTAGTGCGACTGCTCTAGCAGACTCCTTCCTCCTCTTGCATAGGGTTCTGGGGTAACATAACATCCCCTGAAAATAAGGAGTCATGGCTATTAAATGTTCAAGTTCTGTAATTAGCAGGGGAATATCTAACAGCTATTCTACCGAGCATAGAAAATGCTTACCATAGAACATTTTGGTGGAAACAAGTCATGTTTGAGAAAAATGATTCTGTTTAGAAGCAGAATCAGACTTGGCTGTCTGAAAGATTTGTGGAGTTTGGCAGCTCCCCGCATTCTTCCACCCAAATGAACTTATCAAGAGTTCAAACTCACCCGGTGAGAATGCCAGAAATCTCAGTTTTTTATTCATTCAGTGATGTGAAACTCGAAAAGTCTCAGACAGGAAGGTGGCTCCTCATTTGGAGGACTGAGAATCAGTGTGCTCAGTGCCTGGTCTGCCCCCCCCCCACACACACACACATAGAGGAGTGGCCCTTCATAAGCCGCCCTCTTTTAAACGGAAATGTCTTCTTTCCTCAGACGGTTGCAACAGTCTGCACCGTGCTAATAAGATCACACATTCACATTTTGACCTTGGAATACGGGAATTGCTCTTTGCCATCCCGGCCTCCAGCTGAGCATCCCTGTAATCTCTGGGGTGTTAAGCATTACTGCCTGTTTGGAGGAGAATGCAGGGACAGAAACCACTGCATAAGTGGGAATACAGGCCAACCAAGTACAAGGCCTCGATTCATCGCCCAGGCTGCCTCCTAGCTCTCTGTCTCCCCGCTCTGCCTCAAGAGAGGTGAGATTACAGGTGCTCACCACCTAAATTGGTCCTGCTGTTTGCTTTTGAAGAGAAACATAGGAGCCTCCCAGTGTTTACACTGCAAATAGGCAGGGATCGTTGCCAATGGCTCTCAAAGAAACCACTTCCTCCCTCTATTCGCAAAGAGCTATTTCTTGTCCTACACAATATAGAACAATACCCAGCCATCTGCTTAAGGCTTGCTAAAGAAGCTTCCTGTTTTCCTGTGTATGGTAGAAGTTTTGTTTTTCTTTGAGACAGGGTCTTTTTTTTAAAAAAAAAAAAAAAGATTTATTTATTATGTATACAGTGTTCTCTCTGTCTGTATGCCTGCTGGCCAGAAGAGGGAACCAGACCTCATTACAGATGGTTGCAAGCCACCATGTGGTTGCTGGGAAATGAACTCAGGACCTCTGGAAGAGCAGTCAGTGCTCTTAACCTCTGAGCCATCTCTCCAGCCCCAAGAGACAGGGTCTTATATAACCTAAACTGGCTTGGAATTAGCCATAGGTGACTTTGAACTTCTGATCTTCATGCCTCTTCCTTCAACAGGGCTGGGATTCCAAGTATGGGCTACCATGCCTAGTTTATGTACGGCTAGGGATAGAACCCAAAGCTGTATATAACTGTATGCTAAGTGGACAGTCGTCTACCAGCTAACCTACATTTCCAGTCTTCTGTGCTTTTCTTCCTGATGTCCCTTCCCGGAATTGATCAAAGACTGAATACATAAGCTGTGCTCTCCCACACTGGAATGCTCACTCAGCCTTATCTGTTTGCACACACACACCACACACACATGTAAACACTATAGCTGTTTATACACCAATGGATCTCCAACCCTAGCATGATGCTTGGCACATGACAGTCTTCCCTAAGCATCTGTTCAGTGAATGAAAAAGCACACCTTTAAATACACGATTATCTCTCTTTAACCACCAAAGGGCTAGTCTAGAATGCAATGACTTGAGGCTCAGTTTAGGCCCTCAATGGAGTGTTTGGAACATTGCTCAGTCGGGGCACTTGCCCTTAGTTTGCCCAGATCTTGTTCTCTAGAACCACAGAAATAAAGTGTGTTCAGTGATAGTTTACGACACTATTAAAGCCTATTGCATCTACACTCATACTCACACGTGAGCCGTGCTACAGTGCTGCGCCTTGGTGGCATGCGCATGCCTGTGTACAAAAGGGATTGTCTTAGCACCATTCTCTGCTGCACTGGCATGCAGGGTCACACATGAGCTGTGCGGAAGCACCATATTTGGTAGTGTGGGCATGTGTGACCGTACCCAAGATGCGCCACATGACCGTGCTACGGCAGCCTTAGCGCGCTTGATCACATGTGATCTCTGCCTTTCCTGCAGCATCGTACCATGGTAGCATTGCCACATGTGTTCACATGTGAGACACATGGCATCAAGCTGCTGCAGCAGAGACAACACTGCCACCTGGTGGCCAGGGTACGCCTATGATTCCTAGCTCTGGAATGTTGCAGGGCAGGCTTGCCTGTTTGTACGCCTGCTATGTCCCAAAGCTTCCATGCGGTGACACGGACACACCGATTTCCATGCCTGCTTTGTCCCGGCAATGCTGCAACTCGACACGCCGTGCCTGTTTGCATGCCTGCTGTGAGGCACAGGCGCATCTGCTCTGGTGCATGTTGTGTTGGGCATACCTGTTCACGTACCTACCGTGTTTCATTGCTGCCACGTGGTGGCGTGGACATGTTTTTTTTGTGTGCTTGCTGTATCCCGGAGTACCAGGTAGGTGCATGGACGGACACCCTTGTTTCTACGGCTGCCGTGTCTCAGCACTGCCACCTGGTGGCACGGGAATGCCGGTTTGCATGCCCTCTGTCTCCCAGCACCATCCCCTGGGGATATGGAGGTTTTTGTTTGTGCTCCGGCCACGTCCCAGCATGGGAATGCCTGTCTGCAAGCAGGTCATGTCCAGCCCTGCCATGTGGCAGTTGCAGTGTTCTACAGTGCCCTCGTAATGCTACATACTGTGCCACAATATGGGCACGCCTGTTCCCAAGTGATGCCACATGGCTGTGCAGGCAGTGTGGACGCATTTTATTCATGTGCCTACTGTGTCTCCATTGTGCCACTGGGCGGCACAAGCGTTCCTGATTGCATGCCTGCCTTCTTTGTTCAAGCAGCGTCCCATGGCGGAATGAGCACACCTATTGCACACCTCCACATGGCAGCATGGGCATGCATGTTAGCCTGTTGGTTATGTCCCAGCCCTTCCAGATGGCAGCCTGGCATGCCTGTTCACAGGCTCACCATGTCCCAGTGCCACCATATGGAGTCTAGCATACCTGTTTGCATACCTGACATGTCTCAGCACTATGGCAATGCAGGCGCTCCTGTTCTCGCCCCTAGTCCTACCTCCTGGTGTCACGAGCATGCCTGTTTGCGTGCCTGCCATGTCCCAGCATGCTCGTTCTGTGCACCTGCCACATCCCGCCACTGGGCACATGTTTGAACGTACTGTGTCCACCACTATGTAGCAGTGCAGATATGCCTGTCTGGGGCCTTGCTGTGTCCCAGTACCACTACCTGGAGCCTGTTTCGCATGCCTGCTAGGTCCGCTGCCCCCCACTTGGTAGCGCGGGCATGCCCGCCCCCTCCTGCTGTGTCCCAGTGCCATCGTGTGGTTTTTTGTAGGAAGGCCTGGCCGTGTCTGTCATGTCCTGGTACTGGCACACGGCTGCACGGGCATGCCTCTCTGAACACCTCCGTTCACATGCCTGCTGTATCCTAGCTCTGCCACCTGGTGCCTGTCTTGCGTGCCTATTATGCTCCGGAGCTGCCATGCGGCAGTGCAAAGCAACCATGTTCTCGCCTGCCGTGTCCCAACACCACGACCTGGCTTCCCCCACAGGCTACCTCTCATGTCACAGCGAAGCACATCTTGTACCCACTTCACGTCCCAGCATGGCTGACACACCTGCCAAGTTCCGTGCCGCCATGTGGAGGCCCAGGCACGCATCTTCATGCCTACCATCTCCTAGTGGCTCCTGGCATACCCGTTCAGGTATATGCCGTGCCCCAGCACCACCGTCTGACGGCACGGGCAGATCTGTTCAAGTGCCTGCCGTGTTCC